GCAGCAGCCAGTGCGTGATTATTTGTGGCCAGGATCACTTCTCTAAATACATAAATGTTTTGTGAAAAAACAGAGCAGATTATCAGCCTTGTCTCATCTGAAAGTGCTACCTATTCATTACGTATTTGCAGTCAGATACACACGATCTGGGTCTAATTAAGCACCCGTTATCTGTGTTTCTGTTAAAAGCGACTCCCTGATGTTCTACTGTCTTTCACTTGCAATCATGTGAACTCAAAAGGAATTGGCTTTTTCTCTCCCCTTTGATATCATACAATTGATATTCTTATCTCGCACAATGGTTTTCTGCAGAATTGACATGATCGCTCTGGAAATTGCACCTAGCTCATGTAAGCTACAATTGATTTAAAAGTGGAGACTATTCTCAGTTGCAATCTCTGAGCAGGCTTTAATACACCGAACTTTGTATAAATTTGCTGGGCTTCTCTGTAGAAGTGTTTCATTAATGGGAAGCTATGGTTTTCATTTGCAAATTTTAATGGGTCTATGACCTCCCATGGTATCACTTTGGGTCTCCTACAGAAACTAATGGGAGTTGCTTTAAGAGAGTAAGTCTTCCTAAGAGTGCCTATGTGCTAAGACTTTCATGCAGCTTTGAAGATGGCTGTGAATTGTGTTAACACCCACAGTGCACAAATACTGTTCAGATAGAGGGTTTCTGTACAAGTTGGCTCTAATTCCCACTAGAAGCAGTCATTGCCTGCCATGTTTCAGATCTTCAGCCTTCATTGTCCTATTCTTGCCTCCAGTCTCAGCAGCTATGTACAGCTGTGAGAAAGCAAAATGTATTAATCTAAGCCCACCGGGCTACTTAAGTCTTGAAGACTTTTGCAGAAGAGCTCAGGCCACATACAAACTAATTCAACATAGCTCTGTGATGTCTTGTAGGGAAACCTTATCAGCTGAGTGAAATCTGCCTGCCAGGAAGCCCTGTGAAGTCTTCCATCGTCTTGTATCTTATACTTCAGGACCCCAAACTGGGGCAAGGGAGCAATTAAAAAATCTGGACTCATTATGCAGCACAGCCAGTGATACTTGATCAAAACCTCCTGGCAAGCCAAGCTTTGCTGTGTTTTCCCCCCTATCAATGCATGGCAAAATGCTTTAGCTTTGCTTCAGGCTTATTGTGTCTCTAGTAAATGCTATGCTGCAGTTGTTGCCTGAGCTACAAATATGGTGAGTGCTGTTCTGCTACAGTTAAGAAAATTCTACTCCAGTGAGTTGCACTGATATTTTGATGCAGAGTGCAAATGTGCAGTGTTATGCTGCTTGTTGTCTTCTTGCTGGTTGTATGTCTTCTGGGATGGTTATTTTTTTGGTCAGCACCTTCACAAAGGTCAAAATAGCTTTTCTCTTAGTCCCTTTAGAGCTTGCTGTGGCACTGTTAAAATAGCCATACATGTGAACGCTCTCTTTGCAGTGACTATGATTCTTTGCTTGCCAGCCTTGATCAGCTGGCAAGAAATTAAAAATGGGCATTTTGTGTTTGGTACAATCAAGTCCCATTTGTGCTCATAATGTAATGGGTGTATCTGGAAAAATCTGTCCCCTTTAGTCATAATTACAGTTACACTGTTAGTCTTGTACATAACTTTGCTGCAGTAGGGTCCAAACATTAAATTGATGGGACCATATGACAACAGGTACCTCCCTTCCTGCAATGTAGGTAACATGAGAGGTCACTCTACAGAAATGTGAGGTATTCCAGACAGGTCAGCAATACCTAGGCATTCAGAGAAGCAAAATTATTGCTGCAGTGAGAACTTTGGTAATACTGCAGATCTTTTCTCTTAAGATTATGAAACTTACACTGAATGGACAACCAAGGTACTGCATGAACTTGACGAAAAAACCACTTACATAATACATTAATTACTAGGAACATTAATTGTTCATAACACAGAGGACCTGGTTGCCTGGTGAATCTGCACCTTCTAAAAGAAAAGCATATTTGAAATTAGCCAAATGTCTGTAAAGATTTCTATTAATATTATGCATACAATATTCTACAAGAATCACGCAGAAATAATATTTTTAAAAAATGTTTCTCAAATGAAAGTGTTTGCATTTGAAAAGAACTTTTAAATCATAATAGAGTTTCTTGCTTTTGTGAACATACTGAAGTGAAATCAATGATGTAGCTCAGATTTCTGCTCCTAGGGTGAATGAATATTGCTGATACACCTTTCAGTGATTTGAAACAGAGGACTGTTCTGCTACAACAAAAATACTTTATTTTAGAAATATATTGTGATTATTATAAAAATAATGTTGCCAGTATTGTCATCTTGGACTCAATATTTTTGTAGCTTGTATTTACTCTTTTTTGAATTAACGCAAAATGACATTAGGTACTTCAGTCCAAAGAAATAAGTAAGGAGCTGTGAACTTCATCTGCTTAACCAAGTTTTTAGACAGCTTTCATATCTTCCTCTGTTTGCTTGTCCTTAAAATAAGATCATTATCTTCCATTGTCTTAAAAGACTTGGTGGTCTTGTAAATGTGAAGGGTTGCATTCAGGATAGCTGGAGAATGTGTACTCTCAAAAAGACTAATGAGAGAGCAGTACTAGAAAAACCTACATATGGAGGCATAATCTTTCTTTCTGATTCAGGTTAAGGGTGACCAAAAAGCTTCAAATGCAATTTATTTTTCTCTAGATGCCAGTTGGACTTACAGGTTATATAAACCTGCCTTAGCCACTGAAGACAGTGGAGATTGTGCAGAGCTTTGTATGGAATAGGGAATCATGGAGATAAAAATAGTATCTGACATGAGTTTGCCATTTGAGCACTATAGATCTTGCAGCATGGGGTGCAATTTGTTGTTGTACAGTCCCCATATTTTCACCCAAAGTGCCATTTGATGAAGGCTACATTAAGGCACCTATAGGCAACTCAACAGTATTGCAATTTCACGATCTGTCACAATGCCAAGGCTTCCTATATGCCGGTGTTTGGTTTGCAAGAGTAATACTATCTGAATGCATTTTCTAGCATCAGAGAGGCTACTGATGCTGGAAAATAGCTGAAGAAGATGAACTATGGTCTACCTTAAGGGTGGTTTTCATTGTACTGCTGGTCTCAGGCTAGATTAGAGATTAGAGTGTTGTTAGGACAAAGCAAAATAGTTAGCAACTATAGCAGCTCCTGCATACTGCACACATCAGTGCCTTCAAAGTGAAAATTCATACATTTGTGGCACCAGAGAGCTCTAATCCATAAGCTCTGTGTTTTCACAGTCATAATATTAGACTGATGAAACATGTGGAAGGGCAATCCTGAATACAGAGGGACCTCTGCACACTGTTACACACAGGGTTTTTCCAGTTTGAAGGAACACTTAGGTCAGTATGACTAGCCTGGACTTTTGGGAGCACTTGTTGTCGTGGGTGCTAACACCTTCTGCAGCTTAGCTCTTGGACCAGCCCTGGGTCCCACCAAACGCAGCTTACAAGTGCGTGCAGAGTTACATTTGCTGATTGCTGGCACTTAAAAGAGTTGTCTGTGACTGAGGCAATGATAGGAAAACTATATCCTGGGCAGAATTAATCTGCCTTAGCCATGAGCTCATCCTTTCTGACTCATCTGCTGAGTACTTTCCGGTTCCTACAATGGGCACAGGAGTTGGTTTTAGCCCTTCCCCTTGCACAGCCTTGATTCATTCTGCAAGCAGCTTCATCCCATGATCTGAAGGAGGAAGGTCTTGCGCAGAGCACTGCCTACGAACACATACCACTGCCCACAACAGTGTGTATATAAGCACACCATGGTAAAGCTGCAAGGGCAATAGCAACTCTCTCACTTCTTGATTTCCAAACACTTTACTTTCCAGCCCCCTATACTTTCTGGGGTATAATACTTTTAAGTGCAGCAGCTACCTTTATCATATTGAAAAGTCACTGCCACGTAATTAGTCCAAAAATTAATTAAACTGTGCTTAATAAAAAAAAACACCCAACCCTCACTGTTCAGGATATGCCAGTCAACTGCTTCATCTATTCTATTTCTTGCTTGGATGATTACTGTGTCTCCAAATTCCTGCTACTGCTTCAGAGAATGTAATGAAGAAAGGCAATAAAATGCATTCAGGTATAATATCTTGTGCTATAGGCAGATGATTACCATTATACTTTTAAATATCTTTCGGTCTTTATACAGAATGCATTACACTCAAAATTAAGCATTATTTTTATAAAATGAAATTCAATGAAAATATGGTACAAGTATGACCTTATATAGGCATAAAATAACTGAATGAGTCATAGAAGACTCCTTTTGATAATGTGACTTCTAAATTTTTTTTTTACTTCACTCTGTCACAGCTCTTTAACTTCATCCTCCCTCATATAATGCTATTTGAATAAATGGCTGTTTTCATGAAAAATCTCGTGATAAGGAAGAGTTACATTAAAATAACACCATTAATAGAAAGGTAACATAGTCCTTTATTTTGCATGTGATGTTGGCAGTTTGAAACCCTTGACCTGGCCATATACTTTGGAACTGCTTTTCTTCACAGCTGAAAAATTCTGGCATTTTGCTTTCTAATACCTTAAAAGAGATGGAATAGGTTAGCTTACTACTCCCTCAGAGGCTGATGAGTATTCAGTTAGAGCCAGATTCAAAGCTAGATCCTAACAGATTTCAGGACAAAGTGGGCTGGGATGTTCACTATTTGAAAAGCAGCTGGGATACCCTTCCAAAGAGTCTGCTTGACCCAAAACTCAGTTGGGATAGTCTTGAGAGAAAAAAACACACCATAACTTTTCACAAAGTTGCAAATGGACCTGTAGAAAAGAAATGCTGAAAGCATTGATTTTATTTCAAGCCTCAAGGAGAAGTTGACAGATAACATAGAGATCATGTATATTGAACAATAAATACTTAAATACTCTTAAGAATACTAGTAAGAGCCAGTAAGATCTTCAAATGAAAATAGATTATTTTCTCAGGAAGAAACCTGTCTATTTCCCAGGATTTCACTGGTACTTAAGGTTTCTATCCATATCAGTATGAATGCCATACTTTGAATAGTCATTGAGAATGTGTCCCTCCACTTGCCCACCTTATTTTATTATCAAAATATAGGTATAGTTATGTTTCTTACATACAGAAAAATAACATACACCTTCTACATTACCTTTGTTTTAGGAGATAAGAAACTTTCACATGTATTCCAGTTCAACGAAACTGCTGAGAACAAATACAGTTCTTCAGCCTATTTTATGGACTCCAACACAAAAGATGCTGAAGCTGGAAAATCCAAAGTCTTGGAACATACTCAAATCATGTGAAGAAACAGATAGATACTGTAGGCTTCAGCCTTCATATCAGTTTTCAACCGGTCTTCAGTCTTCATAAATTTTCAGTTGTTATGTACTTGGGTTCAAATACCAAAAAGGTTGATCTGAAAAGGAAGAAAACAGTTTATTAGACTGAAATCTTGCACACTGCCAGTTTAGAAACAAGTAGTACATAGAGGATTGGGCATATTTGGAAGTAATAATTGAAATCATGACAGAAATTATATTTTCTTTGAGGTGATGTAAATGTGATTGGCAGTCTCTGAGCATTATCCTGAAAAATCTGAAGAGAAAAATACTTAAACCCAGGACAAATAGTTCCATGTTCTCTTACATGGAGTTAGTCCCAAAACTGTATGCAAAATCACCTCTGCAGAGCTATTTGGCTCCACGTGTAGCAGCCATGACATTGACATCTGCCATATCCGCAAGTGCTTCTCCCATGAAGAGAACAATTTTTTATTTTTTTTTCACTTTCCCAGATTTCTTGTCTCTTAATATTCATTATGACAGTTTTTGGTTGCCCAGACTGACACTACTGTCAGAGCATAAGTCAAAGTATTTACAGAGTACAAAATGCAGAAAATCATGGCATATATTGCAGCTGTAGCTGCTCTTTTGCCCCAGTTCAAGTTCAGGCATTAATGCTGTCTATGTTCAGAAACTACACCTTTCTGACTGCTCTGTGTTTCTTTGCAAGTTTAATACTCTTGATTAATAGTGGAAAGGTTAATATTCCATTAGTAATGCTTATTCCCAGGTATTATGCAACAGTTTGATGATATTTTTTTCAAGTTGGTAAAAATATGTATATTTATCAATGTATGTATCTGTTCAGATAAATCAACCAACAGCTATGTGATATTGAAAACTGGAGACCAAGAGCAAGTCAACAGTGTTTTAGGAGGATCTAGGATATCAGAAGATACTGCATCTGACTGGTAGACCTTCTAAACCCTCCTGATGAGTCACCTCAGCCTCTGCTGTACCTGTTTCAGATCCCTGAAGGAACAGAAGATGGTACAACAGCCCCAGGGCTACCTGAGTGCAGCCGTGAGGTCCCACAGAAACACATAGCACATCTGCCAGAGCTCTGCTGCTCATTTTGCAGCCTGTTGGATGTTAGCTCTTTCCAGTAATGAGGAGAATTGTGTTTTCCCTGGTGACTTCTACATATCCTCTGTAGTATCTCTATGTGTCTCTGCTTGCCTCCCACTAGCTGACAAGCTTCTGTCCCTTGTGGCCAGCATTGCACAAAAAGGGCATGTGTAACAAGAAGTCTTGGCCTGGTCTTACAGCTTTGAAATATGTGGGAATGCTTCTGCAGAAAGCTGCGGCAAGGCAAAAAATAAAACCCTCTGATCACAGAACAGTTGAAGCTGGAAGGCACCTCTGGAGACCATCTAGTCCAGCCTCCCTGCTCAAGCAGGGTTCACTAAAGCAGGTTGCCCAGAGCCATGTCCAGATTTTGGGACAGTTTTTAAAATAAAGAAATAAAGGCCAGAATAGTCTCTAACATTTTTTTAAAGTTTTTTTTAAAGTTTAGTTTTCATGGCTAAATCACTTCAAAATGTAGTAGGTTTTAGGGAGCCTATCCTCCTTCTTCTCTTGGGGCCAGTCCAGAGGACCCCAGAAGTGCACCAGACCTTGTTCTGCAAGGGCACAGGGGTGTCACATAGATCAAATTCACATATTCTGGGTGGGTAAACTGTACTGACCCATAAAAGTCACTTGAAAGTAGGATGGTTTAGTTTACATTCTGTCCTAAAGATCTTTAGAAAAATAAATCTTTATTCTTTTAAAATGAAAAGCATTAACCTTCTATGCCACAAACTAATTTCAGCACAATGTGGAGACTGACTGAAATACACTGATGCTTCTGCAAGTATGGAGGGCCCCTTGCAAAGAGTCAGCATGAAGTAACTGCATTGTGTGATTTTTCTGTTTTCAGGGCATGGCAAAAGAATCTTCAAGTGTTTCTGGAAGTTCAAGCAGTTTTTATATAATATTGGCATAAAAATATATGCTACTAAGCATCTGTATAAATGCATCTGCAAACAAGGAAAGTGTTTGTCAAAACCTGCATCCTATGAAAGAGATACTACATGGTATTCTGGAGTATATATAATGGCTTAATTATGGACTGATTGTGTTTTAGGAAAAACACCTTTGCGCTCTTTCTTGTCATGAGATGTTGCCATGCTCTACCAAAGACCAGTCCCTCCATCCCTCCCTCCATTCTTTTCAGCATATTTCACATATATTCCTCCCATGCTTAGCTAATTTTGGGGAGTAAGGGCTGGCTTGGGGTGTTTTTGGCATTATACAATTGTAAAAACGCCCTATTTCAGCAATACTAAATGCCAGTCAATATGTTATTTAATTTTGGATCGTCCTTATAAGGGAAAAACAATCTCCTTTCTGTGGAGAAGAAAGATGCTTTAAAGTCCAAATATTATAAGACTCCAAAGAATTAATCCAGGAGATAAACCAACAAATTCTTCTGAGGACATTATTGTTACTATAGAAACACGCCTACATCCAGAACTTCGTTGTGAGGTAAAAAAGGAGAATTTGCTTCATTAATCATTTTTACTCTCCTGTCACAACTTGGTCAATGGGGATGCTGGTAACGACAGGGCAGTGAGCCATGGAGGTAAAAGTATCCAGTAAACATAGACTGAGCAAGTTGTTCAGAGCTGGGGCAGAGGGGGCCTTTCCTTCAGCTACCAGGTTGTGTGTTACAGAACCTAACACCAAAACCTTAGTCATCTCCCACTAAAAGACACCTACAGCTTTGTAGTTATTGCTTCAAGATTAAAAATGTCAGCCTGCACCCCCTGCGCCTGCAATGCAGTCATGGCCCTGTCTTCTTGCATGCTTGGTACAACAGAGGGGATTTTAATTTGATGTTTCCTTATGCAGATTTTCATTAACTGGTGGATTGTGCTGTTGCATGAAGTCACTGGGGCAAGTACTGAAGCATGAATTTTAGAATTGAATGGACAATATTATTACTAAAGTTTTATCTAGTATAGGAGCAGAGACAAAGATGTAACAAAATCCCAGGCTTCAAAGACTACAGATGCTTTTCTCTGCCATTCCACCACTGCTCTCTTTTAGGTTTCACTAGCACTGCATGTATGCATCCACCTGTCCTGTTCTCATGTTCCCAAGAGCCATCAAAGACCATCCTCTACATAGGTAAAATACACCCAGGAGCCAGAGCTGGGCTGTTATTTCCCTTAGATACCATTTTAGTGATTTTGTTACAAAGCCACGGGTTATGAGCCAGGTTGTTGGCCAAACAGAACACAGAAAGGATGTTCCCCGGGGTGGTGTGGAGACTTGCAGTGTTTTTGCTTCTGTCTCTCTATGGCAGTTTCTAGAAGCAGCATCATGCCAAGATGAACATCAAGAGTTGGCACCCATGACATCCCTTTCTGGGAGCAAAGGCTGGCTTGCTGAGGTGACAGCCGTGCTCTCTGACAAGTACATTCACTTGGCTGGAGTTTGTTGGATTTAGAAGTCAGACAGGAACTAGGAGCACCCAAAACCACACTTTTTGAACTTCCCATTAGACTTTTTCATGCTCTCTGTGAAGTAACACAGAAAATCTCATGTGAAGGCAGGAAAGGACCTTTAAGTACAGATCCTTGGGGCCAAGTTAGAAAGGAGAGGGCACTTGCAATGTCCATTTCTAACCTGCAGATCTCCCAGCTTTTTCAAGTAGCCAAGCCACATTTCAGAGAGAGAAACAGACCAGTTGTGGAAGAGATCTGCACTGCACTCCATCCAGCCTGGCTGTGCAGGAGGCCAGGGCTCCCCACGGAACTCCTCAGCCAAGGCACATTACCACCCTTGGCATCTCCTGCACCACGATGGACAGCATGCTGTTCCAGAGGGAGGGAAGCCGAGCTGCTGGCTCCTTCTTCCATGAAGAAGGTAAGATCATGTAAAATTATGCAAAAGCTGACATGATTTCAACCATAGTTAAACTCTCTTGAAAGAATCTTTACAAAGTTTAATAAAGATTAAAGCAGTAGCCTGCTTGAGAAACTATTGTCATAACTAGAGAAGTTAATACAGAATACCTTCTCTACGGAGATATTTCAAGAACATAAATTTAAAAATGCATTCGGAAGGATGATTTAAGTTCCCCATGGATATTCAGTAGACTTTCTAAGGAGAACTGCCACAGAGAAAACCCATTAACTTTTTTATCAGACTCTCCAGGAATCTCCCATAAATTGATTAATATCCAAACCAGAAAGTGACTTTGCCTCTATTTCCTCTGAAAAGGAGCTTATTTCTAGCCTGCCCTGCATCTTAGTCCTAAAATGTCTTTAGCAACATACGGTCCTTTCTAAAAAAGATACTAAAAATTGGGTTTCTGCCAAAGTCATTATTAATAGTCAAGCACCCAGGCTCACATACTTGCCTCATTTTTTCTGTGTTTAATAAATATATATTCTAATATGGATAATTTTAGGATAATTTTTATTGATGGCACAGAGGTAAAATTATTTTTATATTAATTAAAAAAAATAGAAACTGCTACCAAGTTATAAGATCTGAAATAATGAAGACTAAACCAAGAAAAAAAAGAATACATTAATTTCCTTTGTGGGTGGTTTCTTGAAAATTACATTTCATGCAAACTTAAAACATGAGCTTTCTCATTTGAGATTTTTTGTAGCTCTGGATTACAGAGATCATTAATACTAGGGTTTTTTTTCCTCTTTTCATGCAAATAGCTATGTGCTGTAGTCAATTCTCTTAGGCTCTTTGTGGACAAAATAAATAAACTACTTCTTAAAGTCTTTTGCAGTGACCAATTTGCTCCAGTCCCTGAACCACTTCACAGCAGTTCTTTATATTCATTTGATCAACATTCTTTAAAAAAATGGGAGTAGTGGAGCTGAATGCTGCATTGCTGTATAAGCCTCACCAGCCCACAAAGAGTTCTTCTGCCTCCTGCACACTTTACACCTAGACATCAGACCAGCTCATTTTGTGATACAATTATAGTAACAGCTCATAACCTCTGTGGAAGTGCAAGCACCCTTTTCTTCCACTGTAGCAGCCTGGAAAGGGTTAAAAGGAGCCCATTTCATCTTTTTGCCCAAATCAGTTAGGCAGGAATCCACTACTAGGGAGCTCTCAAAGCAGTCCTAGAGAAGGGTGAAAAATGAGAAGGGTCCGTATGAGATCTACATGTAGGAAACAAATGTGAGAGAACCCTTTGCAGGCTCTCATGGGAAGGGTGAGGGACCTTATTTTAAGCAAAACTCCCCACGTGCCTCATACTAACCAAAAACGAGGTCCAGAGTTTCCACTGAGTGGCATGGAGAGGGCAGAGTGAACTGATCATTGCTCTTGAAACTGCTGTTCTCTGGCAGCACTTTGCCTGCCAAAGCTCACATTTAGGCTCTTTGTGGGGTAGTGAGGAAGTTCTTGATCCACGTAAATATTTTGGGATGCAGCTGTGGGGCTCACAGGAGCTGCAGGACTCTCCTGCATCTGCCAAACCTAACAGAGCTAAGGGTTGCAGCTTCCAGAGGTCCATCTGCTGCTGTGAAATTCCTACATGCTCTTGCTCTAATATCAGTCATGCTAATTTGTGGCCTCTTATTTGGAGCTAGGTGGTGGGATGATGGGTGTCTCTGTCCGAGGCACTCTGGGGAAGAGTGAGCTCTGAAGAGACCTTATTTGAAGCTTCTGCAGGCGTCTATGGGAAGAACGAAAGGCCTGTGCTTGTGCTGGGTAGCACAGCAGGTGAAGGCTTTTGGAGGAGATGCAGTGTGACCATAGGTGGGAGGTTTCAGCTCTGAGTCCCTCTTCAGAAGCAGTGTAATCAGCAGAACCATGTTTCGTGAAGCTGCCAGTTGCTGACAACTGGTGAGTACAGAATAATTGGGGTAGGTCCTGCAGCCTGCCCTCGTGTACAACCTCTTCCTCTGCTTTGGTCTTGTAGTCCAAAACAACTCCCAAAACTTGGTAGTTGGCACGCTGCAGTTGAGTGTGTAGGGAACTGTCTTTCCTTTTCCCTAGTTTGCCTGTTTAAAATGTACAAAATAAACTTTGCTTCTTGGGGTTTTGGATACACGCTGGTTAAAGGTTGGATATGAAAAGAAATGACTCACAGCAATTATCAGTTGAAATGAATACTTTGTTATGAATCCCTGTTTCCTACACAATCTTACTATTGCAAGGTTCCTACATTAGTTGTAATCACAACTTCGAGGCATCAAATTTTAAATGAATCAGAACAAACAATTTCTCAAGCTGCCTTTTAAAGATATATTACTTGTTTTATACTTTTTTTTAATAAGAAGGTTTGGGTTTTGTTTTTTGGTTTTTGTTTGTTTTTTGGGTTTTTTTAAATATCATTAAATGAAGTCTTGCTTTCACCAGGGAGACTGTGTTTTGTCAGAAAGCCAATTGTGCTTCTGGAAGTGTTAGGCTGTGAAATTTGCAGAAAGTGTTTGCATGGATCTGTGAGACCCAAACTCACCTGTAGTGTCATGGCTTATGCTGTGTAAAGCATTATGGTTTCCTTTGTTCTTCCTAATTTCATAAAGCTCTAATAATGGTCGAGGTTACAAAAAATTGCACAGATCTAGGAAAAAAGACATAATTGATTCATGTGATGAAGAAGCAAATTGTATCAAGCTAATTGACATCTTTCTTACTGCCCTACACTGTCCATCTAGTATTTTCTGAATATTGTACAAATTGATTTAAGTAAAGTATCTTCCCATGGGTTTGCCTGAAGAATGCCAACCACTTTATCATTTTATGTCAGTTATACCAGAAATCAAAAGGAGATATGTTTCCCAGTGAAGAACATGCCTACAAACTCACATAGACCAAGAGAAGACAATAGGCTGAAAACTGTGAGGGAACTAGAAAGGGAAGAAATAAGTTCTACTTAACTGGACTGTGTAAGACCCAGAGGTTCAGGACCCTCTCGTAGTGGTTATACCTCCCTTGCGTAGCAGGAAGCAGTGGAGTGGAATTTTGACATAATGTGAAATGAATAAAATAATTGCTTTCACAAGATTAGAGGGAGGCAACTGCATATACTCAGGCAGCAAGGAATAAATATTCTTGCCTGAGTATATGTTTTGCTTCTGTTAAACTGTTTTGCGAGTCAGGCTTTTTTTTTCGTTTTAATAGCCTGCCAGACCACAGGCAGCACATTTGTCTTTTGAAATTTAGACTACGGGTAGCTAGGACTTCATGACCTTATGTTGCACAGTCCAGAGACCCAGAACATCTGCAGATGAGGGTTTGGATCTGCAGAGTACCTCAGTCAGTTCCTGCCCTTCTGGAGCAAAATGAAGACAAAGCTATCCTTGGAACTGATTCCATGGAGAAGAGGCTTTTTTTCTGCCTCCCCAGCCACCCACTTCCCCTGCCACACATTTAATGAGGTGCATACAAAAAATTATTTATGAGAGGTGCACAACTCTATTAAGAAACTGTTGTCAGTATAAGTAAATTGGCATGCACTCCCTCTCCTACCCAAAGAGGCAATAAGGATCTACAGAACAGGGTAAACAATCAAGATTTGTAGTATGATTTGCCTTTGAGGTTTGTGTCAAATGCTTCAGCAATGGTTTTAAGCTTGATTTAATTCCCTAAATGTGTTAACAACTAACAACCATTGAGTTTGTTTTCTAATGCAACTCATTTAATGCACAGTATAAAATACAGTAGGGATTGAATTACATGGGTATGCAATTATAGTTGGAAAAATGTATTGCAATGAGCTTTTCAATTTATAGGCAGGAAATGAAGCTCTGTAATTATGTGACAACACAAAACCAGAGCAGTGAAATTGGACTCTAGTCCTTTCTTTTTCTAGGTCTACTATCAGTAAACATGACCTTGTCCCATTCTCCCTTCTATGTAGCTCAAAGAAGATTCCTGGTGAGAATCTAGTGAGAAACTGGTAATTTACAGATTTAAGAAGAGTCCATCATTGCCCAAAGCATGCAGGGGTATCTTGCTGTAGTGCTGGTGAGCAATAGGACAGTACCCTATGGTAGGTCAGCTCACTCACTCAAACATAAGATCTTTTAGGATGTAAGCTCATATTTTGATCACAGTAAAGCACCCCTCAGCATAGACCAATTTAAGTGAGTTTTGGAATCTGCCCTGTTCTGAGGTGAGATGCCATAAAATATACTTGTGAGAGGGGAAAGGACAAACTCACAACCCTCCCTGTCCCACACCAGACAAGACTTAAAATTTTAAGTTACAGAGGGTGAATGTGTTGAACCTCTTAAGTTGCTTAACTATGAAAGCATGGTTCACAAAACACAGTTCAGATACCAAGATGACATGATAACACCAGTTTCATGTAATGCTTTTTAATAAAATATTTGATAGAAAGTAAGGCTAAAAGAAAACCAAATTGATACTTAATGAGTAAGGGATTCAGTCTTATCTTGGAGAAAACACATTTAGTAGGAATTGTACCTACAGTATAATGTTTTCTTCATAACAGTGATATTCTCTGAAGAACAGTTTAATTTAAAGAATAAAATTAGCTCTATGTTTCCACAGAATACACTCTGGATTTCATGCATCGATATGAACACTTACTACCAAAGGGTATGATCTTCAGAGTAGAAAGAGCTGTGTTTGAATACTCTCACTAGGAATTGTGCTTCAGCTGAAGTAATTTTGGTTACTTTTGTGATCATCTAATTGCAGAGACTGGAAGACAGAGGGAACAAATTGAATGAGGTCTTTGCTGGTGAGGGTTGAGAGAGACTGGAGCTTCAGTCTTAAAAGGGCTGCTGAAGGAAAGGCTGGGCTGGCAGAGGAGCTATTCCCTGAAAAAGCCTGCTTCTGGGCTATGGCTGGGGATTTTATGCCAAAGTTCTGTTAGACATATGAAAAGAAATACTGATAATGAATCTAGGATAGGGATTTCTCATGGAAAGTAGAGAAACTCTTGTTAATTACTAGCAAAACCACGACATCCAGCTCTTCATTTTAAAATAGCCCTTATTAAGGTACTTCTAGTGACCTTTCCCCTCAGAAGCTGATGGACTTCAGGCACATTTCTAGCTCTATGGAAGATGTTTTACGTGATCACTGAATATTAATTGGCTTCTGTTACAGAACTGCAGAACTTAAACATTAATTGGATCAATGCTGATTCCTACTTTCAGTTACATAATTCTTAAATGAAATTTCTTTGTACTTGTATAATTGTTTTCAGTAATTTGAGAATAGAGAGTATTTGCAGTCCAAGCAGTTAAGCTTGATTAAGCTGGAAAGAGAATCCACTAATCACATACATAATGCATAACTGAGCTATAAAAGCTTTTGAATCAGAGATCTCTAGCAGGTACATTCTCTGTTATGCTGCTGTTAGTGTTATGGTTTACCTGATTTAATAGGAGGAATATATTAACAATTTTTTAATGGTCTAACCAAGAAATATGAATGCTCTATTTTTTTCTCTTCATGATCACAGAACCTATAACTAGTTGCTTATGCAATACAAATATTCATTGTGTTAACAAGAATTAGGATATGTATCTTTGTAATACAGAATACTGAATATTGAAGCATAGATGTTTCATGTGGAAAAACGGAAATTGCAAAATCTGTGTTACTCAGGAGGAACCTCCCAGATGTTTCAAACTGTATTGTATATGAGATTAGACTGCTTATTAGCGACAACTTGCTTACTCTAAAGTCCTTGTTTCCTCTTTGCATGAGAGGATTTGATATTCATAGAGGAAAAGTGGGAGTGAGAGAGTGATGTATATCTTGCTAACATTGTCAGGTTATTGTTTGAGTTTTTACTCCTATCCAGAGTAAAAAGGAAGAGTAACATAAAGCTGTTAATATCGCTTGCTTTGGCCGTGTGATCTGTGTGCTCAACATTAGCTGCAGGTGCTCTAGGTTTCTCTTATCACTGTTGAGGGAACCATTTTAGCCCATTCTCATTCATTATTTCAAAGTGTCTATTTGGGTAAGCCGCATTTGATCTTCAGTTTGGTTGGAAAACAGATGTTGCTGTGTCTTACAAGCTGCAGTGTTAAGTCAATGAGATCTCTGCACTAGTTAATGCTGATCTGATGGAACTGCAAAATTAAGAGATTTGTCTGGTGGAGCTATGAAAGCTCTAAAAGAAAGCTCAACAAAGGGAACTGCTTTGCAGTCTTCTTGTATTTTCCTGTGCACACTGGTTTCTCGGATTGTCCTCTCTTCCTATGCTTCAAGAAAAGCAGGAGGTGAAATTGCCAATCTCCTTGATGTTGATTTAATAGTGCCTTTTTTTTTCTCACCTCTGAAGACAGATAATCTACAGACAAGTATTCTGAAAACCCTGTGAAGCCTGTCGAATGCATTGGAGATGAATTGTCTTCTCAATGATCTCAGAGCACATGCCTGACTTCAAATCCCAATAATCCTATCTATCTGGCACTTGGAATGTTTACGCAACTCCCAGCCAGCCTGGGACACCAGATAGCATTGAAAGTGAGGTGATGGAGTATTGAGCTCTTCCCTACATCCCTTTCTGAATGATGAACTGCAGTAGGTGACTACTGCTGAATATAGTAGTACATCTTCTAAAGTAGTCCTAAATAGGCAGCAGTAGATATATTCACAAAAAGCAACTGATTTTATATTTTCTAAATATCCTATCTTGGGAAAAGGTGTATTAGATATCTATAAATACATTATTTCTGAAAAATTCCGATGAAAACCCCGTTGTAACTGATCAAACTTTTCCAAAAACTAAAGACTTAAACTCAAGTATTAATAATTGCATAACCTCAGTACCTGCCCAAATTCTTTTCCATATTTGTAGATCTTCTATTTCATATGAAGAGTAGATAAACACTTTAATACTACAAAACAGTAGTTTAACAGGGCTTTTTAATTAAAATTAACAACTGAGCTGCTAAGAATAGGTGAAACAAAGTTCTGGGTTTATTTTTTTGTTTGTTTTTTTTTTTTTTTTAATCACAGGATCAATTAGGTTGGAAAACACCTCTGAGGTCATCAAGTCCAACCTATGACAGAACACGACCTTGTCAACTAGACCATGGCACTTAGTGCCACATCCAGTCTTTCCTTAAACACTCCACCACCACCCTGGGCAGCCCATTCCAAAGTCTAATCACCTTTTCTGTGAAGAATTTCTTTCTAATATCTAACCTAAACCTCCCTTGGTGCAGCTTAAGACTATTGCTAGTTGCCTGGGAAAAGAGGCTGACACTTCCACCTGGCTACAACCTCCTTTCAGTGGTTGTAGAGAGCCATAAAATCTCCCCCGAGCCTCCTCTTCTCCAAACTAAACAACGCCAGCTTCCTCAGCTGCTCCTCATAGGACATGTGCTCCAGACCCTTCACCAGCTCTGTTGCCCTTCTTTGGAAATGCTCCAGCACCTCAATGTCCTTCCTGAATTGAGGGGCCCAGAACTGGACACACTTAATTTGTTAAGCTAATATGCTTCAAAAATCAGAATCTGAATGCAATCTTTCTACCCACAGAGTAATAGTTGAGTTTCCAGTTCAGAACAGAGTAGTGAAAAGTTATGTGGTTTTGTTAGGAAAAAAAATTCTCTATAGGTTGCATTTTCTACAATAGAACAATTGTTCCACTTAACATCTCTGACATTTATTGATATCTATAAATGACAACTATAAAAAGATTACTTGGAGAAAGATGATATTCTGGACTGCTTGAATGGTCAACCAAACGTTTTCAGAGGTGTAAATTGCATCATTCATCTCAAAAGGATTCTGGTGCTAAGGCCAATCAGTGACAGCCTTTTTAATTTCCTCACAACTGATCAAAGAAGGCAAGAAGAGAGAAATGCTGTTAGATTTTTTTATAAGATTTTGATAATGCCTCGTTTAGCTTAGACGTGGTATTTTGGAAAGTATTGCAAAGTCTGATCTGCTTTCCCTTCTATTCAAATGCATTTTCTCCCTGTTACTGAAGAGTATGCATGTGTCAATGTCAGCCTTGATGTATTAGCAAGCAAAACAATTCTTAGAATTCAAGTAGCTCAATACTCTTCAATACCAAAATTCTTTTGTGTTGATGGATAAATAGAGAAGTGTGGTGGGCTGGCTCTGACTGGATGCCAGGTGCCTGCCAAAGCTGCTCTATCACTCCCCTCCTCAGCTGGGCAGGGGGAGAAAAAACATAATAAAAGACTTGTGGGTTGAGATAAGGTCAGGGAGGGATCATTCACCAATTACTGTAATGGGCAAAACAGACTTGATTTGGGGAAATTAGTTTAATTTACTACCAATCACATCAGAGTAGGATCATGAGAAAATAAAAACTAAATCTTAAAACACCTTACCCTCACCTCTGCCTTATTCCTAGTCTTAACTTTACTCCCGATTTTCTCTACCTCCTTCCTCATGAGCAGCACAGAGGGACAGAGAACAGAGGCTGTGGAAGAGTTCATCACGTGTTTTCTCTGCTGCACCTTCCTAGGGAGGAGGAAACAAATGAATAGATTTTATTATACAGACAAGAAGTGCTAGTAATTGGGTGTGGCAAAGTGTGGCAGCAGCAGAACCTTCTGCATGGAGCTTTGCGCTAAAATCACCTGTTCAAAGCCTTGCTTTTGCACCACCTGGAGGCTGCAGGCTGCTCTGAAATGAATCTCTCCAAACTCTGAGAAATGTCATTTTTCACTTATGTCTGTTGAGATAGCCTAATGTCTTGATGCTATTTAGCACCAAAACTCATTCCACCAGGCTTCTCTTTTGATGCCTGTGTCCACTGTCACTACAAATAATGCTTTACATAAACTCAGCATAACATTGCCAATACTATTATGGCAAGAAAGTCCTAAATTAAGGTTGTCTTCTTTTTCCCTCCTGCTCTTCCTGACAGCAAACTCTTGTGCTATCGTTGGAATGTCAAACTATTCTTACCTCCAAGTCTTTGATATTAGGTGAGCTCACCTGTGTAGACTGTTACTTATGGATTTTCGAGTTTGTAACCTCCAGTAAAAGGATCATGTTTGAAGCTTCACTATCATTCATTGGGTGTCACGGGTTAAATGCCAGAACTAGGAGTCGGGCTTTCATTTACATGTCAAACACAAACTTTTGGTGATATCAATTAAATCTCTATCTTATGCTGTACTGTCATACTATAAAAGATAAAGATGAAGCTACCTACAGCACAGAGAAATGTTGTTTAGATAGAAATGATTCTCAGCTAGAAACTATCATAGAAGCACCAGTGACATGCAGGTTACTTCCAATTCCTACCAGCTTCTGCCACAAAACATCCAGTGTCACACCTCAGGGATCTCTTACTGTTTGTCTTTAAATGGGATAGAAATTTAGGAATCACTTTAGCTCAACTTAAAATACATATTGCAAACAACTCTTTTGCAGTTTTAACCAGGCACTTGATTCCCAACGTATATTGCCTGCCAGTCTAGAACTAAGCAACCAATATGAAGGAAGATAATTGCACTTCACCATCAAGGAGCTGTCACTGCAATGGCTTTATGACTTTGAGTGTGACAAGATGTTATCTTGCTGCAGATAAGGTAAGACTGTTAATTCACGTTGATAATGTTTATAATTGCCTAGAAATTAATTAAACACAGTTTAAATATCTGGTTTCTCGAGAAAAAGGAAACTTCTCTTATATTACTTTTCAACTACCACTTTCCACTCAAACTATGTTTAGAAAAGGAAAATCTAACAGAAGTGCTTATGCATAAATGACTCTCAAATTCTGAACTGAGCTCATTACATTTGCATCTAATCATGGTCCATAAAGTTGGGGTGGTAGAGGGAAGAGGGGAGAGAAGGCAAGTGTTTGCAGAAGCTTCTCTACAGCTCGACAATTAGAGCAGAAGCTGCAAATCAGCCAGAACTAGAAGCTGCAAAATGAATGACCTAGGACCGCAAAGTTTCATCTCTTCTCAGGAGACGAGCAGAGCTGAAAGTTACCAACTCTCCTTTGATGCACCAGAACGCTCTAGCCTCCTGTTTGGTCCTTCTCCAGGTTCTTGGCTTGCTGCTGGAGAGAACAGCCTGCACACAAAAGCTAAGTCACCTGCCCACAACTCTGCAGCACTTGTCAGTCTCATTTTAAATGATAGTAGCTCAGCATCCCTACTAAATGTTGTTATGGTGACCGTGGAAACCTAATACTGAGCACTACATCTGTCTGCTTATCTACTGCTAATGATCCTGCTGGGTACAACTTCAAAAGGAAGGGAACCAATGGGTTGTTTTTTAAAATCTCCTGGATGATCAAAGAGGATAGAGACTACAAAACTGTCCTTCTATTAAAAAATTAATGCTTAAGTTTGATACCAGGTAAAGGAAGGGAGGGACAATAAGTCTCTTGGTACATCTTTACAGGTAGATTCTTTGTTTATTTAGGGCCTGGCCATGTTCCTGCAGAAGATGGTAAAAATTCCCTATGTCAGCAGCCTCCAGTGGGGCCCACAGCTGGTACAGCAGCTTGGAGAATGAGCAGATCAATACCATGATCTGGAGATAAGTGTGTGTGTATGCAGACACACGTACTTTATTGGGAAGGCACTAACAGAGGGTAAGAACATGTATATGCTGGCACTGGACAGTTCCATATTCCAGAATCGCACAGTTCACTCTCATGGATATTTTCCTATTCCTCCCTTCAGCTCTTGATGCCTTTTGCTTAACACTGGCAATGATTGAGTCTATGTGGGTAATTAACTTAAAACCAAACAAAATTAACAGGTGCTTAGGAAAGGTGAAGTAATGAAGTGGGGAGGAGTGACTTTCTAACCTCAAGTTAAAAATATATGTTTAGTGCAAGTGAACAGCATAATTGCACGTTACCTTTTTATCCTCAGTAAAAAATTGGTCATAGCCATATGAAAGGTTTTATTTCCCACCTTTACATATGTACATGTACTTTCTGTAAATCAGTTTAGTTGGTCTCTCAGTGTATATTTGCATGTCCTGTTGGTCTGTGTCAAGCAATACCACAATCCAGGTGGCACTAGATGCAAACCCCTGCAGTCAGGTAGACCCCAAGGTGATAAGAGGGTGCTCTGCAGCCATTCTGCCTATTGTAGAACAAGATAATAGAGGTCAGGCTGAACTTTAGAAGAAAATGACATGCTGATAACTGTTACCACTGATGGAAAACTATACCTTCTTGTCTGATGCTCAGCAATTTAGATTCCATATTAATCTGAGTTCTCAAAGATGTTCAGGCTTTTTTTCCTCACAAAATTTCCTTTCCTGCTTCTGAGTAGCGGGAGGAGATGCTGTGTTTTTTCTTGGTACTGTCTACTTTTCTGTTGTGATTGGCTGCTTCTGTTTTGTCATTTTGATGACTACTTCTTGCATGTGCCTGCCAAAGTTCAATAAGTGTTTGGACAACGCTCTCAGGCACATGGTGTGATTCTTGGGGCTGTCCTGTGCAAGGCCAGGAGTTGGACTCGGATGATTCTTGTGGGTCCCTTCCAACTCAAGATATTCTGTGACTCTATGTGGTGAAATCGGAGCCATGGAAGCAGGCAAGCAGTGCTTCGCCCTAACACTCCCTTGCATCGCAGGCTGCAATCTCGTTTGCGCTTCATTTGTAACTTTACAAAATGTCAGCAAAAAATCTTTTCAAAAGTTAGTGCTACAAAACGAATTTCTGAAAGGCATGACAGATAATAATCTCTGCAGCTCTGAGCTGGCTCATAGGCAATAGAGCTGATGAACATTCATGGGTAAGGCATGAGTATCAAGAGTAACTAAAATTTATCAGATGAGATGGTGACTCTGGAAGGGAGTGGAAAAAGCATTCATTCTTAACCAGAGAATGGACATTCGGAAAAAGGAAAACAAATCATTACACCAGTTCCAGGATTTATTTCTTTTGAATCTTGTTTGACAACTAAAATGTAATAAAATGGAAAAAGCAAGGAGGCTGCAAATAATGAGGTACCTATTGACTAATGCAATACAAAACATTAAATAGAATAACAGCAGCAACTGCAACAACACTTCTCTAGAAATCTGATATTGTTTTTACCGGCGTGATTTTCGCCTGGCACATGAAATAGCTGCTGCCAGTGAACAATGGAGATTGATGTCACCATTGTGTAGAAGGGATGGACAAGATGGAATCCATGACTTGATGTGTGTCTAGCTACTCACATAACGCTGGAGGCTCCAGCAAACACGCCTAAGAGAAGCACTTCGTTGTTTTGGTAAGGATAGTTTTGTTTAGTATTGAACCTGTATGTTTTCTGCTGAGATGTAAGCCCCTCCTCCTGTCCCAGGCAAACAGGAAAATTCATGTATTGTCTCTTTCTCATAACAAATCGCTGTAAGGGATTCATATGAGACTTTGCCCTACTTCCAGATTTAAAACTGTAAAGATGGCATCTTATTGCCGTACCCAGTCTATTTTTAATCTGATCTGCTTACTTAAGGAAAAGTGATGTTAGCCTGTGCAGTCCTATTGCCTCATGAGAATAAAATAGGTGAGAAAGTGAAAAAAATTCCCCCTTTTTTTCCACTATAAAGCAGTGTCTCCTAAATGGTGAAACTTTGTTCATGCTGCTGATGCACAAGCCTGAAAAATAGCTTCCATTCCTAGGCTGCCTCATGGGGAGTGAGTGTGGATTTTTCATAAACCTTTGAATATGATCTGGTGGTGTGCTGTCATGATAGATACAGATTCCCTTAATACCATGAAGATTTTCTCTCTGGAGTATAAATGCACTCTGGAAGAACTGTGAAGCAGCATATTTTCTTTGCACATATTCTTGTTTCTGCTGTTTTCTGTTTTGCAAGGTCTACTTACTAATTGTACAATGGTCTAATAAAGTCATTACTTGGATTTACTAACTGGCAAATTGTTAAATAAGCACAAATATTTTTCATCAGCTTAATTTAAAGGTCTTGCTTCAATCAATGGAAACTTTTCATCAGTTACTTTGTAGAATTTTTGGGTTTACTTGTCCTACTTTCATAAAATATCTCAATACTAAAATAATATAAGCACATTCTGCAAAGCTACTAAACACAGAAGAAAGAGAAATATTTAATCTTTAGTGAGAGATATACCAGAGCCAATGTAGCTTGCTAGTCCATGGATTACTACAATGTCAGAAAAACTGCTGTTTGTAACTTCCATGTTTGCTGTGTATCTCTAAAAAGTTGTGAGCAGAGCTGCATATTTCGTTCAGGTTTTTTTAATTTGGCTGTTAAGATTAGCCTTAAAAAAATTGCTTCTGTACACTACAATATCTCTGCTTTTGTATAATATTCAGGAGTATTATACCAAGTAAGTCAGAGAACATCCACATCTATTGGAGGAGATAGGGAAGGGAGCTCTTACTCAGCTTTGCAAGGACAAGGTACTATTTATGGACTAACGCAGTCAAAGTGAACCTGAGGCATGTGGAACAGCATGACCATCTCAGTTACTGCATGGTGTGGGTGGACTTTTGTCTTGAATAGTATCATAGTAACTGACGATGCAGCAGGTGTGAGGAGAAGCCACAAAAAAGGCCCTTTTAGATATGACAACGAAAGGAATAAATAAAATTTTTGTCCATAATTGGTGTCAAAAGGCAGGCTAAAATCTGTTGTGATGAGGATTTGTTTTGTTTTAGTAGAGAAATATATTTAAGGTTACAAGACATTAATTTTAGTAGCAGTTGAGGGCTAAAACTCTTGATATATATGTGTATGAGTACTGGAGGATTACAAAACACTATTTGCAGCTCAATGTTCAGGCAGTAACATTGGCTATGTTTTATAGGGCCTATTTTGTTTCCTTTCCAATGCTTACAAAAATGCATTGAAAGCAATATAAAAATCCCATATGCGATACAAAGGGTGAAAATTACCTCTTCATTTCACAGTAAAGCATAAAAAATTGCTGTTTATCAACTTTTTAATGTGTGAAATCTCAACTGCAGGAGAAAAAAAAATTATTTTAATTTTTTCCTTTTTTTTAGCTATTTGATGCAACTAAAATTGATATTTCTGGCAAGCATTAAAAAAATCCTATTAGAGACGTTTGCAATATCTTAGTTTTCTCTCTCTAATACAGATTCTAACCAAAGAATATCAAGGCTAGTATTTTTACTTATCTCTATAGCCAAATACTCAATTAAAAAACCCACAGTAGCCTGAAGAATGTCTCTCCCCCAGTCTTTCTCACAGGTCCTCAGTCTCACATAGCACTGTCATTTCCTGAAGTGCCATGGAGTTCTATATCCTAGGATAACTTTTTGTAATTTTTGTCTCTGGATTAGTATTTCAGGGACAATATCCGTATTTTGAGATAGTCAAGGTGAGTGTCCCTTCTTTAATGAAGATACCTAAGCATTATGTGATCTCTTTCTTACCTATATGCATGGTTTTAGTTTGCTTTCCACATACTGCCTCCTGTTCATCATGTTGCTCACATGGCTCACATTCCTCTAATTTTACTTGAATAGGAATTTTGCATGAGCCAGCAAAGGAAAAACTACATATAAGGAAAACCTTTAGCTCAAAACCAATAAAGGTAGCCTAGAAAAAGCAATATAAAAATGCACGTTAGAAGAAACACTATCAAGAAAGGAACACAAGGATCTAGTAATTTTTGATATGTTTTTACATGCTTAACTTGAACAAAAGTAGAAGTTAAGACACTTGCAATAAAATTTTCTTGCAGCCACATTTCTTTTGAAAATATGACAAAGTGACCAATCACAGAACTCATGCCACTCTTCAGAGCCTACCTGTGAATTCACAGGCTAGATGTTGAGAGCAACTCCACTAAGATGGTGAAGTTTCACCAGCTTGAAATAGATTAATTGAGCTTGGTGAATAACTCTGCCTTAAATTTTTATGATTTGAAACTAGTTTACTGGAGCACTTCTTGCTTCTGTTGAGAAATGCAGCTGCTCGTATCTACATACGAAAAGCCTATTTCCATCTAGACAACCAGTTGTAAAGAATATTTTAACTACCTGGGACATTTGCTCTACATGTCTGAGTAAATAATCTAAACAGCGTTTCCAAGCCAGAAGGTTGAGATCTGTTTTATAGGCTGTTGTGTCTGAGAACTATAACGCAATTTACGTGACAATAAAGTAAATGTAGTTATGTGCCATAGATGCATGATTTGAAGCAATAATGATGACATTAATCTTGATCTTTGTGATATTTTGATAGGTATGATTATACACACATGCTTTTCATCCAGTTTCTCCATGTCTTTATGAGCTGTAATTGCTTATAAAGACTGCGAGGCACTGGTGAAAGTGATGTGGTGCGTCTTTATCAACTATTGTAAGTGAAAGTCTACTTTTAGACCATTGAGTGATGCTAGTATACTTTCAGCTACCAAAAAAAAAAAAATTGCTAGAGGATGCTAGTGTATGTGGCTTTTACAAAACTAAGCTTTTCTATCTAGCTTTCCAATCAGCATGCACAGCAAAATCAAGTCTGATGCATTGAATTACACAAGGAGAAGCCATACTATTTAACGTATTGTTCCATGCACTAAGCAGCTCTAGCATGAATGGGCTGAGGGGAAGTCTGGACAGTTCAGGAATACAGCTTTTGCAAGGTCATCTTCTCCTGACTCAACCTTTAAGAATATGATTTAAAAGCTTTCTGACTTTCCTCAGCAAATGCCCTTTGGCAGGATTAAACTGCACTGCTGCCAATCCAGCTCAATACCAAGCATGTTAATGAGGTGTCTTGGCCTTTTTATTAATTCTACAAGGAGGGTAGTCCATTCAGCAGTGACTGAGAAGGTTTAATCAAATAATCTCATTGTTCCAAATTTATCACCACAATAAAATAATCTACTAAAGAAATACAAGATGAAAGAACTCATTTTTCAATGCTGTATCACTTTATACTAAGAAGCAGTGCAGCCTTGGGGCTCACAGTAGCACCAACATCTGCCCATATGTGAGTAAAAGTATAGTGAGATACAGTCTTTATCCATGACAGGATGAAATCTATCCACTGTAGGTGATAAAAAATTGGAAAGAGGGCACCTTTTTGTATATTGTGGGGGGAAGTGAGGTCTGAGTTGCTGTAACAGAATAGTTATAGTACCTTCCAAAATTATTTCCAGAAAATCTGGAAAAATAAGGTTAACTTACAAACAGGGTTTAAAATGCATACATGGAAGTAAGTGGCTATGCTCCACACTTTGGAACCATATGGAAAAAATGTAATGCCTTTTTGATCTTCTATGCTCACAGATCAAAAATTCAGCTGTGGGTTTTTTAATGTTTCAGACACATGAGCAGCTTCAAACAGCTGCCATTAATTTTATACAATAAAAACTGCCTGTCAAATCAGTTTCCAAGTGTTCCTTTCTCTTCAGAAATCTCTCCTGCTGAGAAATCTGCACAGTCTAAGGCTAGTGTCACACTTTCTGCATCAAACACCTTAGAAACTAGAAAAAACCTCAGTATGTTTTTCTGAAGAGTGAGAATTATCAGTCTTTTCTTGGCACTAGCACAATATCCAGATAAGCAATTTAAAACTTAATATGAATATTGTGCCCAAATTCACTAAAGCAACTGCCTACTCTGAGCACAAATTCATTAAGAGTTTTCTTTCAAGTTCTTTCTAGAATTCTTCACTCTCTATTCTCTCCCCTATGTCTTTTTGGCTATTGCTTTTTTTTTAATTCCTTCCCCCACAGGCTAGCCAGTGTAGACAGCTGTTCCTATGACTTTATCCTCTTCCTTATTCCCTGGCTGTTTGGCTCACTTCTCAGATAAACCTGTGGTACAAGGACAAACTAGAGGTCATACACAGTATCTAGCCTTTCCTTAACCTCAGTTTTGCAGCCCATTATTTCTAGTACAAATAACTTGAAGTGACAGAACATGAAGGGATACCAAGGCTATATAGCACAACAATTGACTTTGAAATTCAAGCCTCTGTTTCTCAAAATATGGGCTATTGAAGAGGTCTGCTGTTCTGTATTCTCTGCAATTGACACCTCCTACAGTCCTTTTGGGGTCTCTTGCTGGAAGAAGGAAATGTTACTATTTTTCTGCTCTTTGCATTTCAGTTTTTGATTTGAACTGAAAAGAGAGGCACTGGCAGGGCTGCTACGCCACCAAGATATGATGAGATGTCCTAAATTTTTTTTCTGCACTTCTCATCTAGCAACGGATAGCAAAACAAAAAATAGGTCTATTTTCCATTCCAAATAAAAGGTACTTCTATTTTCCACAGTCTCTGTCAAAGAAAGAAAGTGAACAGTTTATAACCAACCACTTCAAAGTAGCAGATTAAAATCAGCTTGCTTTAAAGCAGTATACCTCCCAGGAACTGGGACACTGACTCTGTATGTCCCTTCCTGACTGCAAAAGACAGCTACATCGTAATTTCCAGAGCTTTCCTGTTGCTTTCAGCAAGGTGTCATGACAAAACTTCTGATGCTTTTTTGGTTCTGCTATGCATTGCAGAGGTCTCAGAAGAATGTGAGAGCTCATGTGAAAAATGTGCTGCAACTTGTCTCAAATTCATCTGATTGCTCTCTCAAGCACAGTGTTGGTTCCTCTACTTGAGAGAACAAGTGTGCTTCTATTGAAGGTGGTCAGGCTGATATTTGCTTATTATTCAGTCTTCCACTTGGCCATTCTCTGCTTTTTCTTGGTTCTTTGGGTTTATTGAAACCAATTAAAGTTGGTATGAAATATTTTAAAACATGAATGCAAGCAAATATTATCTAGGATGGACTAGAAAGTTTCTAGCTATGTATTTTTTTGTCATTGATTCAAAATATTTTGTGTGTGAAATGGGTTACATTCAAAGTTGCACTCCTATTTAGTCTAAACAGCATACTACAATTAGTCCTACTGACTGAGCTGGAGGCACTCAGCATATGCAGTAGCATTACATTCATGTGGATGTCAAATTTGACTGCAGCCAGGGAAACTGAGTAGTTTTGCCATACAAGCATTTCCATGTACTACATAGCACTTTTATCATGTATAGTGTATTTCTGTCCAACACCCAAAAACTCTTGGGGCAGGAATATCTGATTAATGACTTGGGCTTATACCTTCAGTGCTAAACATAAAAATACTAGAGAAGCAGGAATATACATCAACTACAGAATTTTCAGTTAGAAGACTGCTTGCTTAAATCTCACCTTGCTTAAGGAGGGAGTTGAGTTTTCTTCTAAAGACTCACTTCCTAGGGGTAATTTTTATGAACTGGAGAAGAAGGTACACATCAGCTTCATGCTGTAGTTTATGCAGTGGTGATTATTTTGTTGCCCAATGAAATATCATTGCTATCCTATTCTAATATGTCATTGTATCCTTTAAATCTAAAACTCTTATCTTGGGGTAGGGGTTGAGAAAAATAAAAAAATGCACTTACCTTCCTCATGAAGTGAGTCGTATTTTGATAAATGTAAACTTCCATCCCAGAGAAACATCTACTATTGATGGGAGGTGAAAAAAATACAGTTTAAATTATATTTTCCTTTGACACAGCATCACATTGTAGACAACATAATGCTAATATATAATAATGGCCATGCCTTTTAAGAGCTGGGTATCAGTCAAGCATATAATTTCATGTTGTCTGGAGAAAAGTAAAAAGGAGTATCTAACAGGACAGAATAAGTCACCACACTCTGAAATAATTAGTTATTGTTCCCTTGCCATAGGGCTCTGACATTTTAAAAAACATACTATTTCCTAACTATTCTGTGTTTGAATGATTGCAGGTTTTTTTTAAAGTAATAAACTCTCGCTAGTGAGAGGTTCAGAAAAGCTGTTTATAGTGGCTCCAGCTTCATGATGCATACAATTTTGCCCACTATTCCTTAAATAGATATATACTGCTTAGCAAATTTTTTCTTTATCTCTTGTTTCTTACACACAGTAGCATTGCTAGTATATCACAACATTTTTTTCTTCTCATATTCAAAATCTTAAACAGCTCCATAAATCTACATATTTCAAATCACATGAAATCCCACACTTTATCTTTTCATGTCCAATGCCGTATTGTAATGTTTCAGTTTTAGCTACAATGCTTAAACATAATTAAAATAATACACATGAGAATTTTTACTTGCATGTCTCCAGCAGCTGTCATTTTTAAAGAAGAAACATTGCTTACATCGATGTTTGTTGATGTTGCCCTCTTGCTATAATTTTGAAATGGCATATTTATTAAACGTTTTAGTGAACTTTAAAATGTTCAGTCCCATGCATTTTTTTTTCTCTCTTGGAAGATTCATGCTCACTTCAAGTTTGTCAGTGCTGCCACCTAAGCTGTCCAAAGTCACTTTCCCGCATGACAGGAGAAACACCCATCTGTCATTTCATTTGCACCTCAAAATGGCAGCAGCTGGGGAAGAATAAAACAGCAGGAAAATTTTTATTGGACGGAAGAATGAGATGGTTCTGGCCTATTAAAGTCGATATGTGTGTAATAGGGTCTCTGACTTCCACGGGTATTCTCTGGTGCTACAGAAGATGGGCAACTAAATATGTCAGTGACGGAGACAAAATTTCTCACATGGCTGACCAAATCTGCACCAGCCCATGCCAAGAGGCAGGTGAGTGCTCAGCAGGTGTCAGTCACTATTGGCTGGTCAACAATGTTCAACTTGCTTGGTTATTAAAACCTTTGCTTGCTCTGAGACTCAGATATCTCCTGCCAATGTGAATTAGTCCAGTACCAAGCACAGCCAGCCCTGACTTACATTTCTGGACCTATAATTTTGGAGGAATTTGACACTAGATATATGTAGTATTACAGAGAATTCGCAGAATAAATCGTATCCTTGTCCATCACTTAAATCCAGACAGAGCATAGACTTTGCATATTGAACAATGCTGGACTTTGGAGGCCTGACTGAAATGATTAATTACATTCATGCCTGTTATCAACATTCCTCCCCTAAATGTCCTAAAGAAACTTAAATCACAACAGTGATCAGTATCCTTAGATTTAGTGAGCATTATGTTTTCATCTTAACCAAAATCATCCTTCTGCGTTGATTTGTGTACCCTGCAAATTGCTCTGTCACTGCTAGTAGGCAGCATCAAACACCTTCACAGTTACTCTCTGCTTGCACTGCTGGACCACTGCTGTTCACCTGTGTTGGGTTTTGGAACTGACCTCCTCAGCAGCAAATATTTTTCCCCTTCACAGGCTCAAAATAAGGGTTGGATGGGAAATAAAATAAATTTAGTGCATTATTCAGTACACAGGTACTTAAGATTAAAATTAGTTTGACCTTCATCTGCTGGAGATTTTTTTTTACTTTCCCTTTCTGATAGTGATGTGGTGATCCTGTAATGTTACCTTTAGTGACAGAGAAAGGTTGCGTTTAACTGATCCAGCTCGCTTTCACATTTGATACCTTGGTGGTATAATGTTCCAGGTAAACTGAGCTTGTGCAGCGGTGAAAGAAAACATTTTTTTTCTCCTTGGACTTGCCTTTTTTCTCCTATGAGATGCACACACACACATGAAAGAAATTTCTGCCTACGCTTATCTCTACTTTTATGTGGTTAAATTTTGTGTAAGTACCTATTATTAGATTTTAATCTTATTTTTTTTGTCTTCGTATAAAGTAACACGTATGCTCGCATGTTTATTTAAGTGTAACTGTATGTTTGCCACTTAAGTTGGTCGGCGTGTTTAAAAAACCAATAAAAATAAACGTGGTTTGATAGAAGGCTGTGCGGACCCGGTGCTGCATCGGCGGCGTTACGGGGGCAATCAGGTGGGTGCGCTGGTCACATGGAGCCCACGGTCACTTCAGGGCCTGCCTCGCTCGGGCTGTCATGCACCGCCGCGCTGTTTCCAGCTCGCCCCCACCGAGCAGCTCCGAGAAAGCCCTCGCTCCCGGACCGAGCCGGGACCTGGCGGGTGTTCCCGGGAGAGGCGCGGCCGCCCCGCCCCGCGAGCCGCTGGCGTTGGCGGTGCCGGGGGCTCCCCCTGCTGGCGGCCGGCGGGAGCGCGCGGGGTGGGGGGCGCGGAGCGCGCCCTGCCCTGCCCGGCCCCCGCCGCCGGCGCTCCGAGCTCCGCAGGCGGCAGCGGCTCGCAGGAGGCAGCGCCGGCCCGCCCGTCTCCCTGCCCGCCTCCCTCCCGCCCTGTCTGCCTCTCCCGCCGGGGCCAGCGCCAGCGCCAGCCCAGGGACCCTCTGCCACGGGGGCGCCGCCTCCCCCCGCTCCCTCCTTTCCTACCTTTCCGCCTCTTACCCGGCCGGTGAGTGCCGCCGGCTCGCCCCGCCGTGAAGCCTGGGCGCCCCCCAGCCATCGCTGCTGCTCCCCATGGGGATCCGGGAGTTCCCCAACGGCTCCGCGCGGGGAAAAGCCGCCACGCTGTGAGTACCGCCGCGGTACGGGCGGGAGGGCTGGGAGGGACGGGGGCACCCCACCCCACCCCACCCCACCCCACCTCGCCCCTGCCGGGGGCGCCGCCCGCTCCCCGGGGGTCGCTCCGGTGGAGGGCGGCGAGGAAAGTTGTCGGCGCCGCGGGCGCCGTGGGCGCCGTGCGGGCTCACCTGCCGGCGGGGGTCCAGCCGCCCGCCGCCAACTTCGCCCGGGGTCGGCGGGGACCGGCGGCGCCGGAGCCGCGGCCCCCGGCTGACGCCCCGCTTCCGACCCGCAGCGGCATGCGACGCTCCCCCGATGTCAGCCCCCGGCGGCTGTCCGACATCAGCCCGCAGCTGCGGCAGCTCAAGTACCTGGTGGTGGACGAGGCCATCAAAGAGGACTTGAAGTGGTCCCGCTCCGTGGAGGACCTCACCAGCGCGTCCGTGGGGCTCACCTCCATCGAGGAGCGCATCCTCCGCATCACCGGCTACTACGGCTACCAGCCCTGGGCCGCCAGCTACAAACGTGAGTCCCTGGCGCGGACGGGCTGGGGGGTTGCCAGAACGGAGGCGAGACGGAGCTGGCTGAGGGGGGTGGGTTCGAGGGGCCGATCGCTCTGTCGCTGGAAGAAAGTCGCTCTGTGGGACTAAGTGCTATCACTCTCGGCGGAGAATTCTGTGCTCATGTTGTCTGAGTCCTTAGGCAGTTGCTGGCTCACAGGAGCGTGGTGCTAAGAACGATGACAGCTAAATTCTGCTAAGAAAATAGGTCAAATATTTGTCTTAATGTTGCAGGCACACTTAGCGACGCTGATTACGGTGTTTGACAGCTGTGTAAGAGCCCCTGCACGTTCGTTCACACACCATTTCCACAAATAACACGTTACCAGCGTGTCTTTCCATCGTTTTAGGGGTCTGTCAGTTTTTCACAGCACTTGATCTGAATGATATGTCTTTTCCTATGTCAAGTGGAACTGTTTTTTCTCTAGGCATGCACTTGAGAAATAAGCTTCCTATGGTATAAATACAAGGAGAGACATAGCTATATTCCTCCACATAGATTATTTACAAGGGAAACATTACCTTGAGTAGTCGAAATATATGAACTAGTATTTTTTGTGTGTAATGCCCCATTTCTTGCCCATTTTTCATCACCATGATGGCAATTGTATGAATTACGAAGTTGCAGAATAGTTTACGAGTTAACTGAAGTAATAAAATTATTTTGGTTGTCCTGATGTCATTTGTAACATCACAGGGGTTTTTGTTGTAAAAAGGATTCTGCTGTAACAGAAATCATTGCTTTGCTGGAATGACTGGCTGATGAAGTGGTTCTTTTCATTTTGTACTTTTCTAACTATTAAGTGCAAATATTCTGAAATATTTACTACTGGATTATCTGTTTGACGTGTGCTTAATAATGGAAGAGAATGATACAAGACAGCGTGGCACACAGTACTAGTTCAGTTTTTCTCTGAAGAAGAGCCACTCCTGATTGCCTGAAAATAGGACTTTACTAATAAATATTCCAATACTTCTTCTCTGTGAGCCTTTTTATTTTTTCTTGATTGCAATTATGACAGAAATATCAGATAGCTGCTACTTTACTCACTGGGAGTATGGTATTTCTATAAGAGGAATTCCATCGCCTGGACTGGGACTATTCATGAGAGTAAAGCTTATTCAAGTCAGTTTTCAAGGATCAGATCATATGTGGATGCTAAACTGAGTTGGATGTTAATGATTTTATCTGGCAGAGTGACTAATAGTCTAGCTGAAGTCACACTGAGCTGCTATGGCTGAACCTTCTGAAATAATAAAGGTCATGCTGGCTCCTCAATTATAACCTATTTGTTGAAATTTATAACTCTGCCTGAAAAAGTTAATAGCAAGCCTAAGCCTGCTATTCTAGTTAGATTTTCTCTCGTAAGTCATTCTGAATAACAAAATTACATACTTGAGTTATAATGGTGGGGAATAAATATACAAAGTGTCTGAGTTTCATAAATGTATGTCTAAAAACAATAGGCTATGTGAAGTTGTTGCCAGTTTAATATCCAGTTTGCTAGGAACATAGAAGAATATGCAGAAGAA